GTCAAGATCAACCTTGGAAGATATTGTTGCTGTGCTAGCTTTCTTTATTTACTTTGTAAGACCTGTGGCACTGTAAATTTGTCCTATCAATAGATGTATATATGTTTTGTCTGTCACATCTCAGGAATAACAGTATTGTAAATTCTTGGGGTGTGACACCTCCCCTTACCATCTACCTGTCCTTTTTTTATCAAGAGAGTCATTTACCGTTTGATCTTAGATCCGACATCTTAAAGTATCTTATTTTTAGTTTTTTTAATAACAATTTTTCTGAATATAAAAAAGTATTTTATTGTTAGTTTTTTTTAATACAATTTTTCTGAATATGAACTTTGGTACATGCCATATTCTCATTGGGGCGCACCTATAAAAAATATTACCAATAATTTTTCAAAAAAATATAATGACCCGAATACCCCTTGAAACTTTCAGGGGTATTTTAATCGTTTTATTTTATTGAAAATATTTTTTTATATTTTTCGTTAGTGAGAGTTTAATAGAGGAATGGACGTCCAGATTTTGGTGTCAAAATAGTTATAAAAAAAAAAAAAACAAAACAATGTAGCGACGTGACATTGTGATTGGGGCAATCTTTGCCCTCCATTCAAAAATAAAAGGTTAGATAAGACAGAGGATAGAACTTTTATGTTGTAAGGGGACATAAAAAGCTTTCCTTGTCTTAAAAATAATAATATATATTGGCATTCTATTAAAAGATGTGTCAAATCTACACCTATTACAACTTTATTTCTACAAATAAAGTTGCAACCTTATACAACCTACGCTATTCTCTAATTGTATGATTTCTCTATCTAACTCTCAATGTCTAGCCATATCATTTATCTCTCTAGCTCGTTTTTCCCTCTCCCTGTATCCATTCCTTTTCTCTCTTCAATTCTTCTCTTTTATGTAACAGTTCAATGTCTCACTCTATTTCATTTATCTCCTTAGGACGTTTCTCTAAAACTGTCCTTGTTCTCCCTCTCTCTCTAGTTTATCTAAAACTGTTCATTTATTTAGTTTATCTAAAACTGTACTTGTTTTTTCTCTAGTTTATCTAAAACTAGTTCATTTTTCTAGTTTATCTAAAACTAGTTCATTTCTTTAGTTTATCTCTGTCTAGTTTATCTAAAACTGTTCATCTCTCTAGTTTATCTAAAACTAGTTCATTTCTTTAGTTTATCTCTCTCTAGTTTATCTAAAACTGTTTCATCTCTCTAGTTTATCTAAAAATGTTCTTGTTCTCTAAAACTGGTCATTTATCTCCACAGTACTTGTTCTCTAAAACTGTACTTGTTCTCCAAGGTGCCCTCTCTTTCTCTAAGGCTTTCCTGACTGTGTGAATGATTAATATCATAAAACAGTGAAAGGAAGTTCTTCAACTATACATCTTTAAATTAAAAGGTTTAGTGGAATTTTAAATAAAAGGAAGTGTGCTCCAGGCATCCAATGTCCAAACTAGTTCACTATGTAATAAAAATGAAGTCAGGCTAGGTTCAGACCGTTATGCTCAAATTGCCCATTGGATTATTTTAAAGTATAGTTTAGAGTCTTTAGACCGGTGTTTTAAAAAGCGGACAGGTGATCCGGATCGGGCACCTCAAAAACCGATTCGGATCGATGAATAGGCGATCCGAATAGAGAATCGATTGAATCGGTTGGATTATTGCTTCAAAAAAATCCGAAAAAATTATTAAAGTTTATTATAAATGTTGTTT